TTTTTTTTTTTTTTTTTTTTTTTTTTTTTTTTTACGTAGGAAAACCACGGAGACATTGCGCCGTCATACTCTCAATACTCTACCTCCAAAATAATGCGAGGCTCCCTTCCTTATATTCTCATCCTGGCTTTGCTCTCCCAAGCATACACTTCTGCCGTTCTCTTCCTTCGCACCCTCTCTTCTCGCATCCTTGCTTACCCCGCTTGCACGCTGCAGCTTTCCTCTGCTCTCTTTTGCCTTCTCCTCGCCACGTTGTAGGGCAGCGATGCCGAGCAGTGCCGCGTTGCAGCAAGTCCAGTACCAATTGGCGGCCAGTACCTGTACCTGGCACGTGAGAAAGTAAAGAGTAGCAATTCGCAAACGGGCTTATGGCGTTGGCGCAGTAGCGATAATAGCAACTGGTCGCCGTCTGCCGACACACTTAACTTTAAGTTGCCTGCTCCTTTGGGGAGAATTTCCCACGGACCAACTCGAGCTTAGATCCACGAGAAAAGTGTCTTGTTACAATAGCTATGGATGCCGCACGAGACATTATTTCTAACAATGCTCGCTTCTCCACTACACTTTCTTTTCTTTGCCATTTCACATCTCTTCGCTACAGTCCATTATTCCAATTCATTGTCATTTCTTCCACCTTTTCAATCTTCCGTGCATTAGAAAATTAATTCCATCCTCTCACGGCTGACGGTGTTAAAGTCATTGTTCATTTTACTATGGAGATTTTGACACAACTTTTTCACTGACGTGGCTCTCGACGTCTCTCGGACGTTATTTCTCCTATCCTCGATAGGGTAATAGGGTATTCGTGCAATTCCGTAAATTCATTTGGCGAATATTCATGCTACAAGAACCACGTTATTCGAAAAAAAAAAACCGAAAAAAAAAACTATAATTAAAGGACAAATTCCGCTCTCGTTGTAGTTTCGAAAAGTTTTCAGTGGTTCGACCGGTCTCCATGTTGGAAGCAAGGGGCCTCTAAGGCTGCGCGCTCGTTGAACCAGTCCCCTCGCTAGATGCACTTTTGGGGTAGCAGCCAGCCAGCCAGCCAGCCAGCCGGCCGGCCCTGCTACTAGGCTGTGCTTCAGGACTCGAGTATCCACCGAGACGAGAAGGGTGATATCTACCCTCCTAACCTCTCCGTATAGTCATACTTAGCCCTGCGCTTATGCCAACTCGGCCTTTATTCGATGTCACGACCAAGAGCTTCTTCCAAAATGGGGTTTCAAAAAGCCCTAATTGACATCCAAGAATTTCCGTCTATTCTCATCGAATGAGTTTCTTTGCAATTCACTCAAAGATCAAAGCACTTACGAGACGACGATAACGTACCAATAGCTGCACCTGTTGAATTCGCAATAGTTATTATTAAAATTCAATAGTAACTATTCATTGTCAATAGTGTTTACTATTAGAAAATAATAGTAACTGTTCGGAAGGTTTTCATTGAGAATAGTTACCATTGAAGTTCAATAGTATTTATTAATGGTGTGCAAAAGTAACTATTGGGGCGTTGTTAGGTTAGATTAGGTTAGGTTAGGGTGCATAGTACTTCGGTGTAGTTATCTTTTGAAATAATTCAATGGTGAAATTCAATAGTTTGCCGATTTGAAGTTTTTTTCTTTTTAACTATTTTGCGTCTTTAGAACATTCATTTGTTTGATCTCTTGATTTACTGAAGGGACCGGACAATCCTGTGGTTACTTTTGTCAAACTTAACTTCTCGTGCGTATACAAGGAATTTATCCATCTTTTACTGATTTCTCCATTCACTCGGTGGCCATCGCAGTGCGTTGATGTCCTCTCGCTACTCGAAAAAACACACTTTCAGGACTCGCAACGTGAATTAGCGCGCCCGCCAACTGAACTGATCCCTTTTGTTTAACTTCGTTAGTGTTTATGTTCGTGTAGAGAATGTCAGAAGCCAATAGATCTATTCTCGTTACCTTAGACTTTCTGCACTTTTCAAAAAGTAGAACTTCTTATTGGACGATATTCTTAAGTAACCAATGAGAATCTGCACTTTTTTTAAGTGCCGAAAGTGTAGCTAACGAGAACAGACCTAATAATTCAGACTTGATTTGTTCTTTTTTTTTTAATCTGAGACGAGATATTTTTTTATCTGAGATATTTTAATCTCACGAGACTAAATTTCAGATTAACGCGCTCGATGTGAACCGCGCAGGATCGCCTCGCATTTGTCACGTGCTTTCACTTCGTAATTAGTTCGAAAAAACCTTTCGACAGTATAGGTAATCGGAAAGTAAAAAATAACCTATTGACTTGAATTTTGTTGAGAAATACATGGAGCGCGTGAGGAAGGTAAAAAAGACAGAGTGTACATTTTTAGTATATAGATATTTCAGATTCATTGCGCATTTTCTTTCCTTTCTGCGTGTAAGGCTTTCTCATACGCTGATAAGGAATCTTCAGGAAGACTCACCAAGCACCAGTATAAGGTGGCGATGATCGCAGCATTCGGATACAGACCGGACAGCGTACGACCAATGTCCTTGTTATCGGCTGCGATCAATTGACTGACGATCAAACTCATACTTCGTTTGCAGTTGGAGATTAAGCACGTCTTTCAACGATATTATCCGTGCGAAGCGATAACCTTGCATGACTTTGAGTGTTGCTCGCGAAAAAAAGTGTCGGTGAGCAAAATGACCCTCACGGAAATTTGCATCGCTCATATGGACAAGGATCGTAAGCAGTGACGAGATGCACGAGCCACTGCAAGGCAATATGGGTTCAGTACTCATTTGTTTCAGTCCAATGTTACTTGACGGTTGAGGATTTGCGTACGGCTTGCGAGACCTCTGACTTACGAGTAGATTTTGCAGTTTTCGCAAGGATCTTCAGAGAATTGGATCGCTTCAAGAGAGGACACGTAGGAATCGAAGAATTCATATCTCTGCTCGAAGTAGTCTCACTCGGCAAATAACAATATCTTTATTTTTGTACAACAAAAATATTTTGTTTTCGCATTACGTATTAGAACTGATAGTATATTATGTTTAGTAGATGGAGGCGGCATCCTTAATCAATATGCAATTAATATTATGCAATTGACTTGACATTGTATTTTCAATTCTATTTTAACACGCTCAGTTTACCTGTGATTGCACGCTTAGGGGGTGGGCTCATTTATCGTTCAAATAGACGCAAGTAAATAGCATCTCCAAATCATGGTAGGTATACTTCGTGTCGTTCGAACTCGATATAACTTGGCGTGTCCAGGGCGAACTGCTCGCGTAAGCGCACTCTGTGATTGCGTTGGCACTCTGGCTTCTTTCCAGTACTGATTTTTGGACAATGTTTATAAACGTGCCATAGGTGGACGTCTCTTTGAGGCAATATGAGTTTAAAGAAGACAACGTCATATGTACAGTTAATGGTATTCAGACGAACAAAAAAAAAAAAGAATACACGCATCATGCTTTACACGCGTCATGTCACATCACTCCTTCTCGGAGAACTCCTGATTCACTAGGTCGTAGAAGTAAGAATTGGTATCTTGAAGAAGAAGATCCGGCTCGTCAAACTCTAGTATCTTTCCGTCGCCCATTACCAATACTCTATCGCAGTGCATGATAGTCCTTATTCTATGTGCAATAGTAATCACAGTCGCACTCCTAAAGGAGGACTTTATAGTCGTTTGGATGCTCTTGTCGGTTTCTTGATCGACATTGGCAGTCGCTTCGTCGATGCATAAAATCTGTATGCAAAATTACTTAAAAAATTAGAAAACTTGGCTCTAACCGAGTTACAGCAGACATATGGACAGCACTCTACCTTAGTACTGTGAAGGACGGCCCTGACGAGACAGAACAGCTGTTTCTGACCTGCGCTTAGGTTACTCCCGCCTTCTTCTAGACTAGCACCGAGTCCGCCCATGCGATAAACGAGATTATGAACGTTACATTTTTCAAGAGCCTTGTAAATCTGGGAATCTGGATATTGATCGAGCGGATCTATGTTCTCTCGGACTGTTCCCGAAAAGAGAAATGGACTCTGAGGTATTATAGTCAGTCTGGACCTATGAGTAAAGTTCATGCGATACAGCTTTTCGGTGCGAATAGTGTGTTTGGTTTCGAATCATTACCTTAGTGCGTTGAGTCGTAAATTCTGAATATTAACACTGTCTATCAGTATTTCGCCGGAAGTTACTTCCGTCATTCGGAACAGAGATGCCAATATTGAACTTTTTCCAGCTCCTGTTCTACCTACAATTCCAATTTTTTCGGCAGGTCGCGTCGTGAATGATATTCCCTTTAAGGCAGGCACCAAGTGATCCCTAAAAGTCAGTATTATGATTGATTTCGTATAAGATGTGGGCTGAGATATTGTACATAACGAGATTGTGATACAATTTACCTGTATTTAAGAACGACTTCCCTAAATTCAATAACTCCCTGACTTGGCCAGGCATAAGGTGGACTGTTGCCCGAACTCGTGGATTCTGTAGGAGTATTCTCAAGATATTCCTTTACTCTCTCCACGGCGATCAGCTCCCTCTCGGTCTCGGTAAATGCGTTCACGACACCAGATAATAATACAGTCACTGATAACGTATACGTAATGGCGAGTCCTATTAGACCAGGATTTGCGATATCATACTGATGTTGTAATACTGCCATGACGCAAACTCCTGCCAAAAGGGCTACGCCGATGAATTGTAGTCTCAGGGCGAGCCACTGGCTTGCAGCCACTGAAGCGAATTGGGTCTTTTGACTGGCTTCTAGGAAGAGTTCGTTCTCACGTTTGAAACGAGGTACTGCTCGAAACGCTCTGATACTGGAGAGTCCTTGCAAGGTTTCATTGAAATGAGTATAAACTGGAGAAAGGGCTATGCTTGACAGCCGTTTCAGTTCCCTTGACGTTAATCTGCAAGAAGGGACGGGTGTAAGGGTAGCGAGATACGAAAAAAAAAAAAAAAAAAAGACCATTCTGTCCAGAGCGACTTGAAACTTGTCCACATCGCACCTGTAATGATTCTGGATCCAATGATATATAGGCACCAGTGGCGCCAGTATTAAAAATATCCACGGTAGACCGTAAGCAGTTATGACAATTGATCCAACTAGCCCAAGGAATTGAGCAAACAATATATTTGCGATGAATGGCAATGAATCATCGATTGTGTATGTGTCTGACGAGAACCTATTTAAGATTCTACCAAGTGGCTGAATGTCAAAGAAAGTGTTCGCGGCCTGCAAGAAAGGTAGTTGCGAATTACGGCAATTTTTCCGATTGAAATCCAACCAGTTGACGATAGTATAAAATTCCTTACATACCCTGACGACTGTCTTCAAGAGTTGCTTATGCATCAGAATAGCAGCCTGTATTCCGCCATAAGCAAACATGAAGGCCCTTATGAGCGTGAAGAATGTATTGAGCGCCGCGAGAATGCCATAAATGGTCAAATAATAATTGATGTTATCGCCGCTGAGATCTTTTGGAAAATACTCGAGTTTCAAGCTATCGGGCATGTCAGTGGAATTGACAGACATGTTACCATGAGTGACCCAATAAGACAACCAGAGATCGGTAATATTTCGAGAGATCTGCATGAGTATCATAGATAACAGGATCGATATAGCGAGATAACGACCGACGGCGAAGACGTAACACGCGTAAACATTAAATTGCACGTTCCCCTTCTCAGCGAATTCCTGCTCAAACATAGGATCCGTTTCACTCTCGTTCAGATCGTCAAGCTCCTCCTTCGATGAATCTTTCATTGACGTCACGACGAGATCGGAATCCATCGATTCCGTGGACAATAAATAATCCTCCAAGTCTCGTAAAACGTCACTTGGCTTTCCGTGCCTAACAATTTTGCCTTTTGACATCTCGATAACCAAATCAGTATGAATCAAGTACTGTGTTTGATGGGTGCAGATTATCCTAGTCTTATTTTTCAAGAGTCCGAGGACAACGTTTTGGAAGACATGGCGTGCTACTTTAACATCCAAAGTGGCGAGAATATCGTCCAGCAAATAAATGTCCTTATCGGCATAAACTGCACGTGCCAGTGTTATCCTTGTTTTTTGTCCACCGCTCAGGGTATTTCCGGCCTCACCTATAATAGCCAAATCGCGTTTTGGCAGAGCGTTTAGATCGTCAGTGAGGGCACATGCCTTCAGTATGAGTCTGAAAATAAAATTTCGTTGCGCCCCATACCATTCCCATCTCAACCGAATTCTCGTTAATTAGTATTAACTTACTTGTATTTATTGTGATCGTATGCCTTTCCAAATAAAATATTATCTCTAATGGTGCCTCTTTGGAGCCACGGCGTTTGCTTGACATATCCGAATCCTTTCTCAAGATTTCCTATAGCCATTATGCCGCTGTCTTTTGTAATTTCGGCTAAGATTGCATCAAGAAAAAGACTCTTGCCACTGCCCACTTTTCCCATTATTCCGACCAGTTGACCCTACAGATAATTGCATGCGAGGATGTCGTCAGATTTGCGTAACGAAGCGGCAAGAAGTTCCTGGAAATGTGTGCTACCTTTTTCACAGTTACATTGAGATTTCTCAATGTAAATGTTCCTTCGTCCTCTGACGTTACACTCCTTCGGCTCTCCGAACAGGAAGGCGGATCAACGTTAATCTCATTTGGCCCGGAAAGTGCTATCGACGCAGGCTCACTTTCATGAAAGCTACTGGCGCTAAATGTAGCATTTTTTAGCATGACGTCCGTGCCGACCGGTGGATCGGAATAATATTCAGACACGTGCACTTCTGGCAACTGAAAATTTAAAAGACCAACATCGTCAGCTGCGGAGCACTAAAGCGTTATCAGAATCGAACAAAAGTGGCCTCTGCTTACGTCCAATATTCTTTGAATGCGCTTAATGGAAACCCAAGCCTCAGTGATACCATTGAGAACCCATGGAAAAGCGTTCAATGGTCCGATTAGCATATTGAGTAGCGCCATACTCGTGAAGACTGTCTTGGCTGTGAGTTTGTTGCCAAGAAAGACGTATGTGGAGAATGTTAGTATGGAAATGAGAACAGGTGTAGTTGCCCAAAAATAGACACAAAGTGCATCCAGATATTTTCGACTTTTCAAATATTTTATCTCATTTTCTCTAAATTCTATAGAAAGAATGAAAATTAGAGTGGAAATTATATCCGCAGAGTATTACCTCACAGAGAGACGCAAATAACAAGCAATCGAGCGAACTTACTCAGGATGCTACGCAGGAAGTGCTCCTCCCACACGTTTAGCTTGATTGTCGTAATACCCCGTAGAACCTCGCCCGTTAAACGGACTCTCTGATCTTTACATTTCATCAGTTTCGTACTGAGTTTACCAATTTTGTTGGCGATAATCTTATTCACAGGAATAAGAAAAATGGCAAAAGCAGCGCCGGTCAAAAATGCGATTCCTATTTGATCGTAGAGAAGGTACAACGTCACGACTAACTGAAAAGAGAGCTCGCATCGATCGACAGACATAGATAGTAGTATACGCGATGCAAGTTAGTTAATGCAGGGGGCGGCCTAAAAAAAATGTTTTACCTGTAGGGGTATACTCCACATCGTGTGAAAACTGGGACAGCTATTCACAACTCTATCGGTGTCGGTACTCATAAAATTAATGATTTCGCCGAAAGTAAAGCGCCGATTTATCTGTACCCTCGTGGAGTGCAGAGTCTTGCTGTAAACTAGAGTCACGATGGCGGCACGTATCTTCAGGCCCACGATGGACATCCAAAATGTAAAGTGAGCATTGCAAAACGCACCTGCAAAATAACATAGAAATCTTTTCATTGACGAACGCTCACTTCCAAGAGGCAGGTTCGAGATCTTGTGTATGCGTGCTAAATTGATGACTCACCGACTAGGGTACTGAGAAACATTAGCAGTGCGTACAAATATCCGTATAAAATTGGTTCGTTCTTATCCTCTATAAAACCGACTAGCCTGCTCAGTAGTACGGGACCCATAAAACCGGAACAATCAGCAATGAACTTGAGAATTCCGATCGAATAAAATTGCCAGCTGAAGCACTTGTGAAGAAGCCAGAGCAACGATACTGTGGTAGTCTCGGAGGATAGAACCTGAGATTCCGGTACATTCTCCAAGGATCGGCCATTGAGTGCACTCCTTGGACAGTTTGGCTGAAGAATGTGTGTCGGTTAGTCAGAACAGAGGCAATGGGTATTTTTCTTTTACCGACACACTTCGACACACTCGTGTTTCATTTACGACTTTGCAGGATGCTTTGGGTCTGATTTATGTGACGTTTTAGCTCGATCCTCTTTGCCCATTGGTCGTTGCCTGGTACCCTTGGTGTGCAAGGTCCATAAGTCGTAAATGAAACATGAATGGAAACCGAACTGTGCTCTGTCGCGTATATTTAATAATTTAACACCATATTCTGTATGTGTCGATCGATCTCATGAGCTATCATCGCGGTACTAATGTGTTCTGGCAGATCATAAAGGTCGTCCGAGTGATTTAACAATCCTCTTACGCCCTTCTGCATGAGCGGTGATACCCAATGAAAGAGAAGTTTCGACGTCAACGTGATATCCTCCATCGCAGTTCCAAGGTAGCTCGGATCCTGCTGTTCCAGAAAGCGAACGTAGGAGGAACCAGGAGTATTCAATAGGGCCGTTCTCTCTCCTATCTGAAAAGGGACGTGTTTCTTGTCACTTCTGATATTACTATTTGCTCAATAGTTGCTATAATGTGCACAGATAGTACGCATAATATACTATGTGTATCCCTGCGTAAAGAACTTACACATGAGTAACGATATATGTATATCGACACACCGTTTGCATCTTTATGAGATATAGACGCGATAGTGTGCTTACCTGATTATATCTCGAAGGCCTCGAGTTATCGTCCAAGCCATAGCCCGGTATCAGCGTTATACCGTACAATATTAGAAGCGTCACAACGCTAATACTGAACCCCAATGATAAGTTTGGTAATACGTCATCCGGGGTTTTGTAATTTACGTGAGAACGTAATAAGAGTATTGACACGCCTGTCAATAGAAAGATCACTGCTCTGATCGCTACCGGACCACGCGGATTCAATCCACTCCCTTTACGTAGGCTTAAAACAAAACAGAAATGAACGACCCACGCTAGTCCTTCCGTTCCCGCCACGAGATAGTCAATGGGCTTTGCTGAAGTTGCTTTGTCCTTGACTCTCATAACGAGCCCGTTGTAATCATACTCTTTCGACGGTTCCAGAACACTCGCTGCGACGCTGGCTACGTCGTCATTGTCAGCGTTAGAAAATATTTTTTTCGCAATGCTGACGGTTTGATTTAGTCCATTTGGAATTTTCTTTGCAACTTCTTCCATCTTTGCGACGAAGTCTACATTGTTACTGGATGTCGGTGATGCAATGTAACTGCTTGTTGTCGTCGCTTCAACTTTCACATCACTTTCAGTGCCGATGGAGGGCAAAGTTCTTGTATTGGTGAGTATAATGTATGCCCTGATTATAGGAAGCACAGCCAAGCAGGCAGTAAGAAAAAGTCGTATGTCTATGGCATAAAAAGATTGTTGGTTTCGTGTCAATGTCATACCGCGTTTTCCACAATAGTATGCAGAAATTATGGCTATGGAAATCAGCACAGGAATCTGCAAGAATTGTAATTTTTTAAATTCTCATGGATTACCTAATTTACATGTATGTGGTACTGTACTAAATAATTACATAAGAAGTTGATAACCAACCTGAAGGCACAACTGCTCGAAGCATACTCCCAAGTCATGCGTATTAGGATTCAGAGGTGTTATACCTCCCGTGGTACCACAAAGCTCTGTCCAATTCCATAGCCATGGATTTCCATCGCCAGAATTAATCCAAATTCCATCCATGTTGTTACTTCAACAGATTTATTCTATTGCTATGGTAATAAATTTATAACATTCTTGATATTGCAATACATGCTGCGAAAAATACAGGGCATATATAACTTTGACAGTCACAACTAATCCATGCGAGACAACTTATGGTTACTTATTCATACGTTAACTTATTCTTTTAGACAAATATCGTTTATACTTTTTTATTTGCTTATGATTTTCGATACACGCAAAAGGATTGAAAATTGATACCTGATCACTTATTCTAAACTTTGGGGACGGCTCTCAACTGCAGATTGTCAGATTCGATGAGACATTTGTGAGGTTATAAGAACAGTTTAAAGCACAGTCTTGTGTACAGGTCTAGGCATTTCCCTATCCTCACCACGTTGTAGCTTGTAACCGTAACGTGGACGGTTTTACCCGCAATCGTTTGGGTCAAAGAAGCCTGCTGACACAGCGCATGGGCATCCGTAAATGCACTGCAACCTTTTATCTCCGATTCAAAAGGAAAGTTACACACAAAAAAACCGATGCGATACCAATGAAATAAAATTTTGATTAGTTAGACATATAAAGAATTGATGATTTAAAAAACTAAAGTTAAATGGACCAATTCACCCAAAAGTCATGGAATATAAAACAGTCATTTTTTGCTTGTGTCGTAACTTTTTTACTGAATTAATTTGTAACTCCTGTGAGATTTTCAAATGCAAATTCTTATCATTGTGATTCAAGCAGGCACGATCCACTTTCTGGTCATTGTTGCTTTTTTTAATTCCAATCACGGTATATTCCACATTACGAACAAAGCTGCAGGTTCCGTATTCAAGAAAGAGATAACTGCGCACGCCTAAAGCTACCACGTGATAGGCTCTTTCAACACTAACGCCTCTTGCGGTAGTGGCCACCTTATCGTTACGTGTTTATCGCCTAAATGCCCAAACCAGTATACAAGACCGTGGTTTAAATCAATTTACATGGCTTCAACCAAGCCACTTGAGCACTTGAAGCAATAACAGCAGTAGCAGGAGGTTATAAGCGTGTCTTATTTCAGTTCTCTAGAGGCATGAGGTTTGAAATGAATAAGTATGTAATTACAATTAGTAACAAAGATTAATGGCAGGAGGGTTACTTACAATTACTTCTATTGAACTGCAATACTTGTATGATATAGATTCTTATAAACGATTTATAGTATAATGTGTTATCATATCATATGCTTATTTTTAGATTTTGCAAGTGAACAAGAAGAAAGAACTAGCAGAGTGACGAAAAGTATTATTAAAAAAAAAAAAAAAACATGAATTCAGATTCTAGAAGTCAGTCTATAAACGATGACTTGAAGACATGTCAAATGCAACATTCTGATGATTGTTTGCTTCTGCAAAGTGAATTGTTGGATTATGTTGCAACGTCAAATGCTATTTTCAAAAGTCAACAAAAAGGAGATCCTGAATTATCATTTGATGAAAAGAGAACAATCGCAGCTAAAATTTTACAAAAGAGTCACTGTATATTTCTTTCCAGATTTGGATGTTTTTTGAAAAAAGAACATTTACGTTACTTTGAAAAAGCCATGGCCAGTGATCATGAACTTACGTATCACATAAACAGACTCCATAGATACTATAATAGTTCTACAAGACAAATTGATATAAAGAATAGAAGATATCAGGCTTTAAAGTTACTCATTGAAGATGGTGATTACTTTAGCGAAACAGAAATGATGAAACGCAATCCACTTTTATATGAACAACTGGTAGGACAGTATCTGACGGAAGATCAAAAAAAAGCAAGAGATAATATTGACACTACAAATGTAACATTTGTAAGTCTACTGATGGAGGGCATTGATAAAGATGGATTAAGAAACTTGAAAAAAGCTCAGGAAGATGCTGAGGACAATGTTGTGGAGGAAAATGAATCTGACGAGGAGTGGGATGAGGAACAATCTTGTATTGGTCGCAAAGGTGCAAGCGAATTGAGGTGGGGGGAAGCCATAGATGCACCTATGAACTTGTATCGGAACGCGCAGAAGGAAAAACGTATGGATATGTTGTGGACAAGAATTTCTAATGAAGAAAGGAAAATGCTTAAACAGGAGTTTGTCACGAATATGTACCAAAGCTTTTTGGATGGGAAGGACATCGATTTTGATTATAGGTATGTATTAAGGAGTATTCAGATGAAAATAGTGTATTCCGATATTATTATACTTCTAGCGCTGTGGATGATAACGAGGCATACGATAACGTTGGTTTGCGAACTCAAGACGAGGAGGAAAAGTATTTTGATTCGGAGTCCCCGAAAACCGTTTTACCTACAAATAGTAAAGAGCACAAAATAACTGATCTGGAATCGGAGGACGAGTTGGACGCCTACATGAAATCACTGGAGGATAAATGAACTTCAAGTTATTAGTGTCTATGTGTGGGGAACCTAAAATTTATTGCATATTCGTTATTTAGTCAGTAGGAGTCGTCATCGGCGAACTCCTAATAAGGAACAATGATAGTATTAGTATAATAGTCTTCATAATTGGGTACATAATAAAAGTTTTTAATATATAATTTTTATTGTTGATTTTTTTTTTATTGAACAGACCTTCCCGAATGTTGTGTTGGGTGATTAAATAGGTGTATATACATAATATATCTTCACTAACACTGTCGTATCTACTGAGTAATGCCTATGGTATAATATTATACATGTATATAACAGAGGCACAGCCATACAGGAGTCGAGTGTATCTCCCCGTTCAGACATTTTTTTTCCGTATAGAAAGCACACGGTGCCATTTATAAGACTCTCTTTGAACGTAGTTTTTTCCGGAAAAGATGGTAAGTATCGTGTGGTGTATATTTAAGAAAAAATAAAAAGTCGTATAATCTCCGATGCAGTCAAATTTTTGTAAGAATTTGATGCAAGATTTAGTAAGAAATTATCGTATTAGCATGATATAGTACTCTCTGTCGATAGGCAGTACAATTCGTACTACTATATTAAAAATTCAATACTTGCTTTCTGGTAATTGTCTTTATGGAGTTTTATTGAGATCTCGACGGACTTTGGACTGTTAGTCGATGAAAATGGATTGGGCTTGGCATTTTAAATCTCACGGTGAAGTATCATAGATCTTCATCATTCCATAACCTGCTGTGTTTCAATGGAAATTTACTAGTTTTTTTTTTATCGAGCATTTTACATCTGCAGCTTTAATAGATACAAGTTGTTGTAGTTATTTCTCATTAAAAGCATGCATAATAAAACCAAGTAATTGTCTTCTATTGTCTGTAGTATTTAATTAAGTTGTAGTTTATAGTGTAACCTGCATGGTTTGACTAGTTCACCTGGCACCACCGTGGTACTACCTGCTGGATCCTCTGGTAGGTATCTTTATTCTTTTCACAGCCAATCACGCCAGCTGCGATGACAGGTGTCGAGGAACAAGAAAAGCTTTTAGAGGATGCCGTCGGAGTCGTGAAGGTCCAAGCATTTCAAATGAAACACTGTCTCGATAAGTCCAAATTGATGGATGCCTTGAAACATGCATCCACTATGCTCGGTGAACTGAGAACTTCTCTTCTAAGTCCCAAAAGCTACTACGAGCTCTGTATCCTTATGTTAATTTTTTATTACCAGGATCAATTTGTTTTGCTTGGTATTGCATATTATTTCTTACAGTGTTTATTAATAATAGACATGGCTATTACTGATGAACTACGTCACCTGGAACTCTACCTGTTGGATGAATTTCAGAAAGGACGAAAGGTTACAGATCTTTATGAGCTTGTTCAATATGCTGGCAATATTGTACCACGATTGTATGTTAAGACACTGTGCTTTGATGGAATATCATTTTTCCATGCATAGTTCTCAGATTGTAATATCGATTGATTCACAGGTATCTACTTATAACAGTAGGATTAGTTTATATTAAAACAAATCGATACCTTAAAAGGGATTTGTTACGAGATTTGGTAGAGATGTGTCGAGGTGTACAGCATCCTCTGAGAGGACTCTTTTTAAGAAATTATTTACTACAATGTACTAGAAACGTGTTGCCGGACGTTGCCGATGGAGATGAACAAGAAGGCACAGTAAGTCAACAGTGTGTGTGTGTGTGTGTGTGTGTGTGTAAAAAGCTTAATAAACACTTTTGCATGCCAAATAAAAACGGAATTTTTAGGTACGTGATAGCATAGATTTTGTTTTAATGAACTTTGCCGAAATGAATAAGTTGTGGGTACGAATGCAACATCAGGGTCACAGCAGGAACAGAGAACGCCGAGAACGTGAACGAGAGGAGTTGAGAATTCTCGTAGGAACGAATCTCGTTCGTTTAAGTCAATTGGAAACTGTTACTCTGGACAAATACGTTAAGGTGAATAAATTCTGTAATTTTCTTTCATTATACGTTAGTTTCAGCGTGTTATATTTATTTTGTCTTGCAGCTAGTGCTCCCTGGAATTTTGGAGCAGGTGGTCAGTTGCAGAGATGCGATTGCCCAAGAATATCTAATGGAATGCATTATTCAGGTACTCAAATTGGAAGAATCAATAGAAACATTAGCTGAATTTCAATTTAATAAAAAGTTCTTTTCCTCAGGTATTTCCGGATGAATTTCATTTACAAACACTGAATGCGTTCCTAAAGTCGTGCGCGGAACTGCAAAATGGCGTTAACGTTAAAAATATAATAATCTCGCTGATAGATCGTCTCGCGGCATTTAGCCAGAGATCAGACGGTGTGGGTGGTCCGCCCGGAAGTCCTAACCAAGTACCAGGAATCCCACAGGATGTGAAGCTCTTCGATGTATTTAGCGATCAAGTGGCCACCATCATACAGGTAAAGGTTAGGTGGGGGTGGGAGGTGGCGAGGAAGTATTTATTCACATCGGGATATGGTATAACGAAAGCCGTTTCATGATGATTGGATGCTACACGCTCACACTGATATATCCATGATGTCTTGAATTAATGTTCCTTACTAATCTAGTTTAAGTCTGAGAACGGCGTTTATGTTGTAACACTGATAATATCTTTTTTTTTTCGCACACGTCAATGACTCTTTGCAATGGAGTATCGTTTTAAATATGGGTTTTCTTTTTGTTACAGACCAGGCAAAATATGCCTCCCGAGGACATAGTCTCGCTACAAGTAGCTCTTATTAACTTGGCACACAAGTGTTATCCCGACCGAGTGGATTACGTGGATAAGGTGTTGCTCACAACTCTTCAAATATTTCAGAAATTGAACATAGACAAGTAGGTATCGTCGCTTAAATTCGTGGTACCGCATATTTTGCGTTCGATTGGAAGATTGTATTTTGTGTCCAAGGTTGGAATACAATAGTGCCGTATCCAGGGAACTTTCCCGATTGATGAAAATACCGGTGGACAACTATAAAAATATTCTGACTGTTTTGAAGCTCAAACATTTTGCACCGCTTCTCGAGTACTTTGATTACGAGGGTAGAAAGCTGCTCGCAGTGTATGTCATAACAAATATCTTAGAAAACGAGACACTGATTCCTACTCAGGAACAAGTTGAGGCTGTTCTGTTGATGGTGTCTCCGTTGGTACAAGATCAGCCTGATCAACCTAGCATCAGCAGTATGGTGGAGCCCGAGGATCCAGAAGATTTTGCAGAGGAACAAGGCCTTCTTGGTAGATTGATTCATCATTTCAAATCCGATACAGCAGATCAGCAGTACATGATTCTGAGTGCAGCGAGGAAACACTTTAGTGCCGGTGGAAGCAAGAGAGTCAAATACACACTGCCGCCGATTGTTTTCCAAGCTTATCAGCTCGCGTTTACATATAAGGGTCTCAAGGATCAAGTACGCACACACGGCTTGTTCGATACATCAGTTGTTGCGTTCGTCATTATTTCTTGTTTTATCCTCCATGTTTGCAGGATGACATGTGGCAGAAGAAATGTCAGAAAATCTTTCAATTTTGCCATGCTACCATAACAGCATTAATGAAGGCTGATTTTGCCGAACTGCCATTACGATTGTTCCTTCAGGGAGCCATAGCCATCGGAGAAATTCGATTTGATAATTTTGAGATGGTCGCTTATGAATTCATGAGTCAAGCCTTCTCTATATACGAGGACGAGATTTCGGATAGCAAGGCACAACTTGCTGCTATCACACTGATCATTGCTACTTTCGAACAGATGAGTTGCTTCAGCGAAGAGAACGCCGAACCCGTGAGAAATCAGTGTGCTCTTTACGCGAGTAAGCTTTTAAGAAAGCCAGATCAGTGTCGAGGAGTGGCAACTTGTTCGCATATATTTTGGTCTGGGAAATCTTTGGCTACCGCCGGTAAAGAAGTAAGGGATTCTAATGAAATAGTACACGAGTCGCCATTACATTTGTATGTCAATGCTTGCAGATGCAAGATGGAAACAAGGTACTCGATTGCTTGAAGAAGGGCATCCGAATAGCCAGTCAGTGTATGGATACGTCTGTGCAGGTTCAACTGTTTGTTGAATTATTGAATCATTACATTTATTTCTATGAGAAAGGAAATACGGCGGTATGTAATTTGAACGTCGGAATCGACAATGGTGGTTAATTGCATTGCTTTCAGGTGACTGTCCAAATATTAAATCAAGTGATCGCCAAGATCAAGGAAGAGTTACCAAACTTGGAAGTGAGCGAGGAGACAGAACAGATTCAGAAGCATTTAGCCAATACCGTGGAGCATCTTCGAAATCGAATAGAATCTTCAGAATCGGAGGGACTGTCGTATCAGGGCATCGCTCTCTAAAATCTGTTATAATTGTGATGATGCCCTGACGATACCTTCGAATTGGCCCTTGATTCGTCGAGCTAGCGGTTATTGCGCCTCAGTGTTATTACATTTCCACAGGGAATAAATAATTGAGATCCGCCTCTAAAGAACGTAATAAGTCCTTACTGCAAAGTATGATAATAAATCACGGATATCGGTAAGACCAGCCGTACACTGAAGTCTCTGTGCTCCGATGTTCAGTAACGTCGTATATTTCGTCATACATGATTTGAGTATGATGAGCATAATGTTAAAGCCGGCTTTGAAAACGCAGTTGTACGTATAATTGTTGAAATGATCTCAAGTTGATGAATTCTTGTATGCATTATTTTCCCTATTGTCTTTTGGAACCGCAAAGTGACGACCGTGGACAACGTGCTTGTAATTTTTTTGTTCCCTCCGACGTCGATTGTCGTTCGCGATATCCAGGTGTTTCTAACAATCGACTCGGATGTCCAGGTTGGTCCAGGTTTGCTCTGTCGTTTTGTGCGTCCAAAAGGTTGGATGCACAGAACCGGCTGTCTTAAGGAGGTCCTGTCGATGCATGCTAGTCAACTGATCAATTATCAAATCTATTGAATAAATCGATTAAAACAAACTGGACTTTCTACGAAATTATTCACATTAAGTATAGAAATTTGTTTGTAGGTGTCTAACTTTGTGAAATTAGCTCACTCGTACAAATATATTTAATAATCATACTCTCATTTGACTTTTATTTATTGGTTTATTGGGTCTCTCCCGGTGAATCGATGAAGATCCGAAAAATTAATTTGCAATTAATTTGCTCTTTGCAACACCCGGTAAGGTCATTATTTTAATGGTATGTATCGAATCTTGAAGAATACACGAATCCGTAATATATAATTTTTCGCTTCAAAGTTCACTCTAAATATGATAGTTTCTCATCCAAAGTCGAAATTTAATCTCTCTGACCTTCGAGTCCATATAAAATTATATGAAGTTTCATTTTTAAGGCTGCTGTCTAGCTGGTTTATCTATATACATATATATTGCGTGACGTCACAAGCGAGGAAACGTATTTTTCATTATTCTCCTTCATTCCTAAATGATTTAGCAAAATCTTTTATGAGCCCGCTTCGTTATGAGATACGACTGACGGCTCATCTCAATTTAGGTGCGAAAAATATCTCAATTGTGAGAAAAATGTACGTAAAGAAATCGTGCATTTCTGAACTGTCAACACCTAATGGGCGCCGCCATTACGACCGTTTACTAAATCCCATTTTTCTACGAATTAGGACACTCATCACACTTAAACCGAGAAAGAGCCGCCTTGCTATGGACGACACAAAGCGGGCTGATCTAATAATTTTGTTAATAACTGTTTAACACTAGATTTACCATCTATTTATTCATTTTGACTGGTACTGGTATAAATGTCAATAACAAAAATTATATTTGTTACTAATGTATATAAAATAACATTAAGTTTATAAAATGTATTCTCTACTTATAGCTACGAAAGTCGTAACGTCATTTCTGAAATCAAATGATATATGTAGTAGGAATTTTGAATTGAAATTGCACGACCAGTCAAAATGACTGGTCTGGTAAATCTAGTGTTAACAGACGCAAAAAACGACAACTTGCATTCGACCTGTATTTTACTATCTTGAGAATCCAATAGATGGCGGTAGCTATTCCTCGCCGTAGGGCTCAGTAACGTGAGCGATTTGCGGGGCCCATAGCATAGTACCATCGTGTCAGAACTACATCTATCCATATAGTATATGTATGTGTGTAGCCAAGTTAGCTGGCGAAGAGCTACGCCAGCCTAGCCGCTTGGCTCGACTCACTATATACATATATATATATATTCTCTAAATTACGCGTATCTTCAGAATCCAAGAACGGATATTCTCTGTACGTGGCCCTATCGCAATTCGATGTGTGTCAGCCTCTTCTATGGACCATTCTGAGTTTTTTCACTAAAAGATGTTTAAAAATTTCAACGAGAAAGCCGTATATCCAACCGTTTGCGAGATACAGCCCGCCGAAGGTGAAGTTTCGCGTATCTTCAGAATCCAAGAACGGGGATTCCTTGTACGTGGCCCTAACTTTGACTTTCGACATTTTTCTTATATAATTAATAAATTGGGAGTACTCACCGGAGCTGGTGCAGCTAATCCGAAAAGGCCGAGAACCGTATCCAGAGGACACTCGGGTTGGCACTTCACTAGGTCACAGCACTACACGTCCGGAACACGCACAAGAAATCCATAGAATTTCCTGGATATCGCGAGAGAAATGCGAGAACTACACGAGCGAGAACTATCTATACCGTAGCGAAACACAGATACAAAGAGATGTATTCGCGACGCACTTACTCAAACGTATCAATTCACTACGTCACACTTTTTTTCGTAAATGAAGGTAAAGGATAAAGAGTATAGAAAGAGACGTTTCGCGACGCACTACGTCACACTTTTTTGTTCGTAAATGAAGGTAAAGGATAAAGAGTATAGAAAGAGACGTTTCGCGACGCACTACGTCACATTTTTTTTTCGTGAATGAAGGTAAAGGATAAAGAATAAAGAAAGAGATGGCATGAAGTGGGCTGAAGGCCCGAGGCGAAGAGCCTCA